CTAGCTCTACAAGTGCTTAGTCAGCCACTAGACTACAAACTCATCGCGCACCAAGATGCGCTGATAGCGCTCGAGTCGATCGATCGACTTCACACCGAGCCAAAGCGCAATCTTTTCTAGCGGGATACCCCGGTGCAATTGCCGCACGACAAAGGTATGACGCAGACGCATTAAGCCGCCGTATCGATGCTCATCGCCAAGCAGAAGCGTCAGGGTATTAGTACAAGCGGTTTGGCAACCCACGTCTGTCCATTGAGCGCGGGTCATCGTCGCCGGAAAAAGTGTTTTATGGGTCAACCCAAAAGCTTCCCGGGTCTTTATCCAGCGCTGCAGCCTGCGCCGGGCCCAGTGCGCGATCGGTGCATCATGAGCGAGTGTCTTGGCGGTGCCAGAGACTCGGATTTTCCAGGGCATCTGAGTGCCGCGTACCGCCCGCAAACTTAAATCACTCAAGACGAGCGTTCTGATCTCGGCCGGCGTTAAACCAGAGCCGAGCATCAGCGCCAGGGCCGTGCGGTCTCTCTCGAGCTTCCACGTTGGTTTAAGGCCCAGGCTTTCAGCGTCGGCCGTGAGCAGCTTCACTAGCCTTGCCGCGACAGCCGCCTCGAGCGCTTCGGACAAAGGCTCGTTGTGCCGAGCATTGGCGTACTTAAAGCGCTCAGATCCCAACAATTGCGCCGCAGCCCGATTGGGCGCTTCGCGGGTCTGCGCGGCTTGGTAAGCCATCACCTTATTAATCAGATCGAGCACCCGCCAGGCGTATTGAGGACTGATGTCAGTGCCAGCCCCTGGACGCGGCTCAATCTCGTCTAGAAAGCTCTCTAAGAACGCGACGTCGATTGAGGCCAAGGTCCGCTCGTGCAGATTGGCAAATGCTGTAAAGGAACGCCAAATCGCCTGGTACCTGTCCCGTGACTCTTGTCGAAGGGCCGGCGAATGACTGCGCACCCACGCCTCTAACGGCTCGTCAGAGATCGAAACAGTGGCTGGGACCAGGAGTGAAAGCTGCATATATATAGGGTAACAGCAAGCGGGAGATCAGAACATCCCATGAAAACGAAACAGTAGGCAAAACTGACCTCAGCTTGCTGTTACCTTATTTATTCATATTCGCGTACCGCTCTTGCTGTTCGAAGGGGATTATCAACAATCGCCAAGCATGCCTTAGATGTGGTTGGGTCAAAGGCGAAAGGAAGTGAGACCAGAATAAAGGGGAGTGTCTCGTCTGGAGGTATCGCGTGCACGCACAGGACCTCTCGATTAAAAGTGATCGCTATCTCCGCCAAAACAGAAAGGACGATTGCTGGCATTGCGCCCACCGCTTCGCCTCAAGCGTTCGGCATAAACGAACGAATTCTCTGCGAACAAGTCTCCATATTCGTCGGCGCAGCGGATCGACGTGGGCTCCTGGGTCAGAGTCTGTGAGATTCGAACGGTGGTGGTTTCGGTACAGTTGTTCTGGTTGATCGCGGACAGTGCATCGTCGACCACTGGTATCCCATGTGTGCAGCCATTACGCGTGTCACCAATGCCAGACACATTCCCAGCGAGGCCTATTGCCCGAGTAACGGCAAAAGCCTGCCCTGACCTGACATCGCGTCATCGCCAATTTGATACCCCATGGCTCGGTAGCCAGATTGCCGACGCTGCCACATGCGCTTAAGCGCTGGGTGGCCGGTATCGACCATATCAATGATCTGCAAGTCTGTTTTACTGGTGTGCAGTCGGTGTAAGCGACCAACATACTGTTGAAGTGTTCCTTTCCACGATATGGGCATCGCCAGAGTCAAGGTGTCCAACGGTGTGTGGTCAAACCCTTCACCGATCAGGCGACCGGTCGCTAATAGAACGCGTGGCGACTCTTGCGGCATTGCCTCCATTTGCTGGATCACGGCCAGTCGCCGCTTCTTCGACAGACGTCCATGGAGCACCCAGTGAGGGACAGACTTTTCATTCAGAGCCTGTTCAATGGCCTCAAGATGACTGGTCCGTTCGGTCAAAACGAGTATCTTGCGCCCGGCGGCATAAGCCTCAGCGACTGCCCGCACGATGGCATCGGTTCGAACCCTGTCTTCGCTGAGATGACGAAAGACGTCCTGGATGCTGGCATCAGGGTCCAAACGAATGATTGAGTTGATCGTACGGGGGTAGACTTCGCGGCGCGTGAGGGT